ATCTGCTTTGTTTTCTTGTACTGAGAAGACATTTTACATGTTCATTCTATATTAGCCCTTCTCACCATCTAATAAACCATGCGTTACTTTTTTGCTCTTTTTTTTTTTTTTTTTTGTAGAGACAGAGTCTCACTTTTTCGCCCTCGGTAGAGTGCAGCGGAGTCGCTCCAGCAACCTCCAACTCCTGGGCTTAGGCAATTCTTCTGCCTCAGCCTCCCAAGTGGCTGGTACTACAGGCGCCCGCTACAACGCCTGGCTATTTTTTGTTGCAGTTTGGCCAGGACTGGGTTCAGAACCCGCCACCCTCGGTATATGGGGCCGGCGCCCTACTCACTGAGCCACAGGCGCCTCCCTACTTTTTTGCTCTTTATGTCTAACTCCCTCCACCTGATTCCTCTGCCAGAATATAAATTCCATGAGGACAGATTTCCTTTTTCACTGTTGTTTTCTTGGTATTTAGAACTGTGCCTGGTACATAAAAAGCAGTAGTCCACAAGATCTATTAAATGAATGAATGGTGCTCAAATGTTACCCACCTCTGTGTTTGCAGGATAGCATTTTAAAGGACTGTAGATCTGGTTTCTTTTGAATATCTCAGTTAATTTTTTTTTTCCCGAGTAGAGCATTCTTGTACAAGAAAATGTTTCTAAGTGTTATAGGTCTTATAAATGTCTGGAGCAAGGCATGAAAAATAATTAAGTGGTATTGGGATATGAAAGAAGATAGAGATGTACTAGATAAAATATATAAAAGGAATTTTGTTCCCTTTATTTGATTGTATTGCCCCCAAAACGGCCTTGCATAAAACATCAGAAAAATTTCTACACTGAAAACCTAGATTCTGGGAGAAACAATAAAAAATCCTTTGACCTTTAACAGTGGAGGTTAAATGACCAATTATCATTTTAAAAGGTAGAAACAAATCAACACTTTATAAAATAAGAACATTTGTTTCTTCTCCTTGCAACAATTTCTTGGGTTTTATTGTAGTCAATCCGAAAACTACTTTGCAGAGTTTCAGTCTCTGTCTTTGAGACACAGATTTAGGATTTAAAAATAGCAAGACCTTTACAACATTACTGTAACTTAGGGGAGACCTGTTCCTTTTCTTGGTAAGCAGGGAAACTTGACTCTATGTAAAATGACATCCGGAAGCATTTTTAGCCTCTGGCTTTGTTGGAGTCGGTTTCCTTTTCTTGAATTTTAGTAAGGATATAATCTCAGTTCCAGTTAGAAAGGGAGATCACAATGCCAGGTGTCAAATCCACAAATCAATCCTCTCCTTAATTGCCAAAGTCTGACAGGTCCCCATGTTTGTCCCAGAAAATTCTAAACGTTCTTTTATTAACAATGGGGAGTTAAATTTCCTATGTAGATAAATTAACTTCTAAATTATAAGAGAAACAAACAAAAACACAGGGTGAAATGGTGGAGGAGATGCTGGTTCCAATCTCTTCTCTTCCCTCTCCCCATTTTTTTCCACAGATTTTTTCTTTCCTATTTTAAACCATTAGCTAGTTATTATCTTCCAGGAAAAGCAGGCTTTGGTCTGCAAGTTTTAAAAAAAATATCTCTTTGTGCTAATTTAAAGTGAGAGGTTAAAAATATAGGTGGCTATTGCAATGAGGAGTGCTTTAAACTATGTAGCTATTACTGTACATTTGGGCAATGCTTGAAAAGGAGGTATGGAACGCCTTGGGGGAATGGAAAACTTTATTGTATTTTAAATCAAAGCTAGCTTAAAAAAAATAAAATAATGTGAATTAGCTTAGAGTAAAAAAGATCAATTAATACACAAATGAAAGAAAATAATGCATTTTGTAGATAGCCAAATTTACGGCCTTGTGCATTACATTTTACACACTAACGCTGACCTCTCTGTGGGTTTGAAGCTTAATGTTGTTCTCTGAAATTGGCAATTGCAAACCCTGGTTTTTCAGTCAATACACACACATCCGCCCACCCTACATAAACCTATTTGTCTCCAATTAATTCAGAAGTGACAAAATATCTTTAAATAAGTTTAATTTTGATTCAAAAATAAGTACTTTTATATACCCACTTTATTTTTTTGATTAAAAAAAAAAGGATGCACAGAAGCCAAATGTTAATAAACGTTAATTTTCATCTACGCCTTAAAGTGACACATTAAAGCACCTTGTGCCTGATGCAGAGAGAAACTGTGTCCCTTTGACTTCTCTTTCAGTCACAAGGCTCCCTACACACAAGAAAGACCAGATGTCTGGTTTCCAGGGTATTAGGCTTTTTCATTAGTACTTAAAATTTATTTTTTTGAAGTTTGGAGAAAAACTGCGGCTCCTTCTTATCTTTAGCATTTTACACTTTTAATAATTTCATCTACCAGGAGTGTTTCAGCTGAAAATGAGCCTTGAATGAGCCTTTGCAACCATCCAAACAAGGCTTTGGAAAAAAAAAATTGACTTTTATTTTTAAAACTCCATTCTAAAGAAAATACAAATTCATAGTTTTTATGGAGACCAGTGGGCACAGTGTAGCATGTGGTAAGGAGACTGAATTGGGGGGAAAGGTATGAGTAAAGGACATTTCTTTTCCCTTGTCTGATTCCTACTAATTATACAAAATATATATACATTATATATGGCATTCTTTCCGTCCTCACAGAAAACAATGTTTGGAAATTCCTGTGTAAAGCTAATTTGCCATGAGGAATATAAAGCCCTTTAATGGGACATCTAGGTCCCTATGGGAATTTTTTTCAGAAAAAAAAAAACAGACACCATGTGGTGCAATCTGTTACAGTCTACAAGGCGGAGGTGGGAGGTGGGGAGGGGAGCGCTGCGGGGCCAGGAATAAAGTCATCTCTGGGAGTTTCTGAGGTATTAACTCAAATGGGAAAAATGGTACAGCTGAAGTCTGGAAACATCTTTCCTTGTGCCCTCAATTGTAACCCAAGGGTGTATGAAACTTATGCTTTTTAAAAAATTATTTAGCAAGTTAGGAGAGGAAAATTTAGGAGAAGAAAAACCTGAACCTTTTCTGAGATGGTTAAATTGCCATTCATTTTGTATTTTAATCTAACCTACTGGTGATTTAATTTACAGATCTCAAAGGAAGTGTACGCTCAAATATTTGAGGACGTTACCGTATCAACCACTGTGTAATTTTGGAATGTGCCTACTCGCTTGACACAATATTTTACCATCTAACAAATGTTTAGCCTTTTTTTCACTTGACTAAAGAGAAATAAGTTTCACATTGCTTCATTCACCTTCTTATGTGCATATGCTGGGAAAGATTGGATGTTAAAAAAAAAAAAACTTCCTCATGTTCCTTTCTACTACATCTAAATCTGTTTACCAATTCAAAGCTGCTAAAAAAAACCTGCATTCTCCTGCTAAATCAACTGGATGGCTAGAAACCAAACTGTAATGTAACAGAAAAAATTATCAATTTATTTTCATGACAGAACATTCTTGAGAAGGTATAAAATTGTTCTGGTTGCTATGCCAGTTTTCTTTTTTCTTCCTTTCTCTGTCTTCTGTTTTTAAAGGCTTTCAGCTTTTAAGCTGATACTTTTTATAGTTATATAACAGTTCTAATATTTTGTGACATTTTGTATTGTGACACTATAGATGAAATTGTCATCGGACTGACACCTTGTGCTGTTTATTCCTTAATTACAACTGTTAACACTGGAGAGCAGTGTGCTAATCTGCCAGCACATATTATGAAAACAACGTTATTGTTACCCACACCAACACCCACTCAACAGGATATTTCCAAGATGGTAGTTCAAAGGAACTTATCAGCACAATGGACGGTTCAGTATGGTTTTTGTTATTGTTGTGTTTTTTTTAAGCTGTCCTATTGTCTTCTTTTAAAAACACAAACCAGTTTGAAATTTAAAACATTTTAATTAAAATTTAACTGTAATATAGCATAGATACCTTTCACTAGTGAAGGCTGCCTCCATAGTTAGAAAATGATATATATTATTTTTTTCTAGTGTTCAAGCAGTGGTTGGGCTGAGGAATCTCAAAGCTGTGTAGGGTTGTCACCCAAAGCTTTCTGAATGACTGTTTTTTCCAGAAATAATGAAAATAGAAAGGAGTGGGAAGGGCAAGTTTAAAGATGAAAAGAGGAGAGAGGGGTGGTTTGCAATCACAGGGTTCTCCCAATCCTCAAAAGACCAAGTCAAATCCAATAACCACTCCCAGCTCTAATGGTTTTACTTTTTCGAAACCAAGTCTTATAGTTCATTTTTTTCTGTCTCCAGAACTTTTAGAAAGTTTGATTCTCTGTAAGGCACAAAATTTTATGAATTTATTTTCTGTTAAGTCGTATCCTAAAGCAGCTAGTGCCAGGTACCACTATCTTTTCATTTGTTAAAAGAAACCCCAATAGTAAGCAAAGAACAACCAGGACCCTATACCTCGTCCCCTTAAAAAAATAACTAAAAAGTGAAGAATCTAGAAAACTTGAAATGAGAATATATATGTTAAGAGGAGAATGACTGTAAATTATTTAAAAAATATATACAACACTGACTTAATAATTTATTTAATAAACTATCTACCTTTTAATATTAGTTTTTTGTATTTGTTTTGAGACAGAGTCTCACTATGTTGCCCTGGGTAGAGTTCTGTGACACTCTCAGCTCACAGCAACCTCAGATTCTTTTGGGCTTAAGTGATTCTCTTGCCTTAGCCCTGCAAGTAGCTGGGACTACAGGCACCCACCACAACACCTGGCTTTTTTTTTTTTTTGTAGGAGTTGTTATTGTTGTTTAGCAGGCCTGGGCTGGGCTCAAACCCACCGGCCTCAGTGTATGTAGCTGGCACCCTACTCACTGAGCTACAGGTGCTAAGCCTTAATATTAGTTTTGAATGTGCCCATGGGTTTGGTAGAAAGCAAATTCATGCCCTTGAAATAGTCATAGGTGATAGATAACCTGAGACTTCCCAACAGATTCTCACATCTTCATTGTCACTTAGGAGATAATAAAACAAAGGAACTTCTTGAAATTACCTATGTAGTCTTTAATATTCAGCTTTATTAAGCAAGTATTTTGAAGTCGCATGTGATGAAGTTATCACTGTGCCTCATTTTGAATGGCATTTTCTGCTTCATTTTGATTTTCAACACCAAGAGGATATGGTGCTCTTCCTAAAAGAAACTGTTCCCATTTGGGAATATATTCTTCTACTGATGCCCAGTAACGAGTCTGGAAAAAAAAGCCAAAAGTAAAAAAGCATATCAAGCAATTGAACTTGGCTCTTCATAATAGTCTAAATGTTTATTCACTTAAGTGTGTGTGTGCGTGTATACACACACACACACATATATGTAGAATGCATTTCCTCTACAGAATATTTTATGTTAATTTTAGAAAAAAATCTGGCTACTTACTAGTGTTAATTTTCAAATTTCTCAGTAAAACCAGAGCCTGGCAGAATTACAGGTTTTTCAATTTTATTGTGATTTTACACGCCCTCTTGTGGCCAACTTGGTGATTACTGCCAGTAGTATCCCTGGTGTACAATCACTAAATGTAGTATATTCTAAGTCCCATACCAAACAATTACCCATACTGAAATTATTTCAATAAAATTATCAAACATAAATACATTCTTCATATTTGACAAAAAAATATTTGACCTTGGATGAGATCAGGAATTGAAATACAACTAGCATTTTACTGTATAGGACTCAGATAAATTGGCCCCTTATTGCGTGGAAAATATGTATCCACTATATCTTTCATTTTGATTTATTTTTATTTCTAGAACATGGAAGAGGAGATCTACTCTATCTTTTTTAAAAAACTAATATGACAAATCTAACTTTTTCCTCAACTTGTTTTTTGTATCATTAGAAAATCAATAATTTTTACCATTTTTAATATGAACAGCTTGGAAGTTGAGATGCTGTGTTATTTTTCATAGAAGCTCATGCAACACAGCCATGCCATGTCTAGGAGCTTTGAGAGTTTCTTGGGTGACTGCCGTAAAGAGGCCAAAGAGAACTGCCAAAGGTCTGTGTCATAAGAGGTCAATTTATATTAGATCATCACTAACAATCTCATTTTGGGAAATTCAGCCAATAAGTTAGCGTTAGAAACACAGAATTATTCACTCAAAGTATTAAAAAGTACAGCAGTTCTGAAAGTTGCAAATGGACAGGGGTTCTACATATCTACATATCTATGTATGTGGTCTGAGAAACAGCCTGGCATACCTAAAAATAAAGGTCATCCTGCTGTGCCAGACTAGTTAAGAAAAATACCATCTGAGGCCTGTGGTTGGGAGTTTCTCTGCCATTCATGGCTGGATTAACCCCTGTTGTGTGGGCCCTGTACATGCCAGAGTAAGGTATTGGAGAATTCAACAAAGGGAAAGACATGCCCAAGGCACAACTTTGTACCAGGTTTTTTTTCTGTTCTTGGTCACTGCCTTTTTTTTTATTACCCTGGATGACACAGAAAATTGAGGGGCAAATTCTCAGCCTTTAATTTTAAGTTTATTCATATCCCCAGTTGGGCAGAAAGCAAAATTGAATTTGAAAAAGGTCATTAAAAAATGTAAAACAAAAACATTCTGTATGTATTAAATTTCCAATTCATCACAAACACATTCATATATAAAATATAGTTTGTTTTTGTTAATCATCTTACCAATCCATTCTTGATTATAAAATAAAATAGATAACAGCCATACTATATTGTATGATAATATGCATTTAAGTAGCTTTGGTTCAAATTTTGGTTAAGGGACTAAACTGCTACTTCTAACATTAGCGAACAGGAAAAGCACTTGGGTCAGGCATGCTCTCATTTTAAGATTTACTACACACCGTCTGTGGTGGTTTAATAGAATGGTTGTTTCTAAGTGATGGGGTGAAGCCAAACAAATCTTCATAAAATTTCCACTCGATAAGATTATTTAATCAAGATACTTCTCAATTACCCACTACATATAGAGCTTGGTACTGTAGAAATTTAATCAATCAAACACATCTTTATTTAATTGAATAAATAAATCTGAGAAATACATATAACCATTACCTTATATACACTACTAACAAAATAGGGTCCCTCTTTTTCCTTTACGTTCCCCTTTGTTCCTTAATTCTTACCTCCAGAGAAACCACCTCAGGCTGTGGAGTTGGGTAAATCCTGGTCTCTAGAGATTTTTCTGCTGCTTCAATATCCTGGAACAGATAACAGCCTTTTCTGGTGAGTATATTTACATAATAGACTTCTGTATATAATACACTGCTATTTCTGGTATCTGTATCCCAAGTCACTCACCTCAATTCTTCTCTGCATATATAGTCTAAACTGATGGAGGGACACTGAGGTAGGAGAACTGATCATTAGCCCATTTCAAATAAAGAATTCAGTATTGGGCAGCACTGTGGCTCAAAGGAGTGGGGCACCGGCCCCATATACCAGAGAGAGGTGGCAGGTTCAAACCTGGCCCGGCCAAAAAACGGCAAAAAAAAAAAAAAAAAAAAGAATGCAGTGTTTCTTATTTTAACACAGAAGGGGGCATGGTCCTTCGAAGTTCTGTCTTTTCACTTTGAATAGCCAGTAAATGCCAGTAATTCACGGCAAAAAGAGCTTCCTCTAAAACTGCTCAGAGCATTAATTTAGTTCTGCAATCACCTAAAAACAACCAGATGGATAATTCAGATATAAAAACAGTTAGCATACGCAGACTCACCCTGTCCTAACCTTAAAAATGAGTTCTAGTCTCTCCAGATGATGTAAATGGTATATTAATGGCACATATTTCACTCGTCCAACATTCCATTTAAAAATCATAAGCCTATGGAAATATTCTACACATCTCAAAGAAGTTCAATGAGGCACCTCAGTACTTTGTGGTATGAACCTTTTCCCTAGACCAGCCAGATGTCTTTGGTCCTAGATTTCTAAGCTCTTTTCAATGGCAGTTTTACTGCTAATGTATCATTCAGCTGATGGCATTCAAGTACTGTGTATTCATTTGTAGTTTACCTTGTAGATTTGCGTGTTCTCTCTTATGGTTGTAAAAACACTAGGGCAACTAAACTAAATTCATACCCTGGCAAAGATTTTTACCCTGCTACATACATGAAGCACATGTCCAGAAATGTAGGACTCTGCAAGTTGCTGCTCAGACATTTGAACCCCATTTAATAAATGTGTCCCAAATTAGCACCCATGTTTTCTGCCTGCTTACTATGTCTGTCAAGTTTGCAGAAGCCTTGGTCAAAGGCCATTTAAGCCTTGCTTCTCCTTTGAGCATAGTGAGCTGATAGAAAAGAGAAAGTTCTCCGACGCATGTACAAGCATTGGAGCAATCTGAGGAGAGGGCTGTTGGACAGACGGAGAGAGATGGAAAAGGGCGTGGGAGTGGGGTGTGAAGAAGCCAAGGCTGAACAGGAGAAAAGAGACAGCAGATGGTCGCGGCAGGAGCAAGGAATGGGTGTGAAATGTAAAAGGGAAAAACAGGAAATTCCCTAAAGGGACTCCCCAAAGTTGCACAACCATTACTGCACCTGCTGTCTAGAGGAAGGTGATTTGAAGGAAAAAAGCCATCAATTTAGGGATAAAAAGCTGATCTATTAGCATGTCTATCCCATACCAGAAGTTTACAGCAAAGACACATGCTAAAGAGCTTTTGATGCCAAAGCTACAGCAGATACAGAAGCCTAATAACTTTTCTGTGATTATACTGAGGTTTTACGAGGTCCTGGAAAAGTTATCTTTTACTTTCATAAAACAAACAAAGGACAAATAGAATAATCACAACCCCAATTATGTCATTATTCTAATAACAGTTACAAAGTTATTGTCAGTGGCAGATGTAGGTGCCACCAATATTGTAGACAATATGATAATATACGCATTTTTCTTAAAGATCAGAAAATAAGAATACCGAGTATCTCCAAAAGAAAAGCAGATTGGCGAGTGGAGGACCAGATATAAGTAGGGGACATGTGGCCTGGTAAAACAGGCCTGTGGTTGGACACCTGACTGTCACCTCTACAGCATTTTGACTAAGGACTATCACTCCTCTGAAAAACTTCTTCCTTAAGTGATGTGTACTTTCTTAAATGATTTGCATACCTCTCTGATTCCTACTTCTCCTCCTCTTCAGCTGGCTCATTTTCTGTCATTGCTCCTAAATGTGGGCTTGCTTAAGATGTGTGACATCTGTCCTCATATTTTTAAGATTGTCTCTTATCTAGCTTCAACTACCTTTAACTATGGGGATGGCTAAGATTTCTGTCTAGCCCTTATTTTCTCAGCCTTATAAAACTAAACTCTTCTTATTCACTCAGACCCCTATGCTGTATCCCCTACCTTTAACTCTTATTCTCTGCCATTTAAAATTTCAAAGCTCTAAAGATGGTTCCTTTGGGATATCCCTTCCAGCCTTTCCCTTTCATTCTCAACACTATGGTCTGATTACTACACCTACTCAAACACTTGCTGAGTGCTTACTCTGACTCATGCTTAGAGTGTATCTCATTTTACTTCAGTCCATACCTAACATAGGTTTGATTAGTTTTTCTAAAGAACTGCTTTAAATATCTCCTTCCTGGCTCGGCGCCTGTGGCTCAATCGGCTAAGGCGCCAGCCATATACATCTAAGGTGGTGGGTTCGAATCCCCAGCCTGGCCCGCCAAACAACAATGATGGCTGCAACCAAAAAATGACCGGCACTGTGGCGGGCGCCTGTAGTCCCAGCTACTTGGGAGGCTGAGGCAGGAGACTCTCTTGAGCCCAGGAGTTGGAGGTTGCTGTGAGCTGTGATGTCATAGCACTCTACCCAGGAGGCTAGCTTGAGGCTCTGTCTCAAAAAAAAAAAAAAAAAAAGACTTACTTGATTACACTTTCTTACTTTGTTTTATAGACATGCCACTAGACCGTTTAACATCTTACATAGTTACAGAACAAATAAGAAGTAATCCCCCAAATTGTAAAGCAAATGAAACAAATCTAACAATTATGTAGTTGATTGCATAATAGCACAGAGAAGAGCTATATCAAGGGGTCTTAGAATTCAGTATTGACTGGACATCCCTCTTGGGATATATCCTAGAGACAAAAAGAATTGTAGAAATATCTTCCTGAAATCATCCTAGGAATCACATTGTTGCGGGTAGTGATGTGATGACAGGGGCAGGTCTGAGGCATCCAGGAGCTAACGTGAAGAGGCTTCCCTTCAGTATTGTGGAATGATTCTTTGGACATGGAGATTTTTGGTGTGAGAAAAAGAAGTCTGAGGCACAGCCAGGCACGGTGGCTCATGCTGCCTTGTGAGCAGGTGGAATGTTTGAGCTCTGGAGTTTGAGACCAGCCTGAGAAGAGTGAGACCCCATCTCTACTTAAAAAAATAGAAAAAAAAAAAGACAAAGAAGAAGAAATTTGAGGCACAAGATCAACAATTTTAAGTTAAGAAGCTTAGAATCCTATAACTGAGTTAGAAGTACTAATATGAGCTTTTTATGTATTTTATCTTAAAAAACAAACAAAACTCCAAAAAAGTTGCAACAGACACCCCTATTTGCCCACATTGGGGATTCTAAATCTATTTCTTACCAAAAGGAACCAGGGCTCTGGGAGCAATGGCCAATTCCAAGTTCAGGACAATAGAGGCACACAGTGAGCCCAGAAGAGTTTGTCACGTGGGAAAGAAAGGAAACTATGAAAGGCCAGAAGGGGCATGTGGGAGGCATTCAGGAGCCAAGTTGAAGAGGCTTCCACCTGCCAAAAATGGAACCATCGGAGCATAAGTAACAATAAAAATTGCAAGGGATTAAAACATTTGAAATCCTAAATAAATTAAAAACAAAACAGAACGCTTCATTGGTTGTCTTTAGAGGATGCTGGAGAATCAAACCATTAGGTTGCAAACTGTCGGGAAAGAATCAAGCACTAATTATACTTCTCCCCATATGAACTACACTTCAGTGTAACCAGGTGATGAGAGGAAGATTATCTTCATATAAACAATCAGCAATTAAATCAGAAAGAATACAAGAATTTTTTTTGGAGAGTGGGTTTTACTGTGTTTCCTAGGCTGGAGTGCAGTGGTGTAAACACAGCTTACCATGACCTCATCTCCTGGTTCAAGCAATCCTCCCACCTCAGCCTCTGCAGTTGCTGTGGCTATGGGTGGGTAGCTACCATACTAGCCTAGGGTTTACTTGTTTTTTGTTTTGTTTTGTTTTGTTTTGTTTTGTTGTTGTTGTTGTTTATAGCAATTGTGTCCCAATATGTTACCCAGTCTAGTCTCAAACTCCTGGCCTCAAGCAATCCTCTTGCCTCAGCCTTCGAAGGCACTAGGATTATGAGCATGAGCCACTAGGTCAGGAATAAAAGAATGTATCATTTTTTGTAGCTGCTAATGAATATATCTAAGTAATGACCATCAGTGACTGCCACCATTCCAAAATGAGAGACAAGCAACCAGGCACTGTGTTTTCCTCCCTAAAACACTGAATCCATATTTGATCAGACTTCCACATCTGCACTGTTCACTGGAAGCCATTAGTCTCACATGGCTACTGAGCACTTGAAGTGTGGCAAATTTGAATGAAGATGTGCCATATGTGTAACATATACACTGAATTTTGAGGACTGAATAAGAAAAAAAGAATATATTTAATTACTAATTTTCACAGAAAACTTTTGAAATATTTTGTATATGCATCATTAAATGTTATTAAAATTAATTTCATTTACTTCTTTTGACTTTATCAAAAGTGGTTATTATAAAATTTAAAATTACATATGTGTTCACATTATGTTTCTGTTGGACACCACAACTCTAGATCAATTAATTTATAGGAATTATGGGGAACAGGGGAAAAACAATATCCAGGCTGGGAAACTCTAGAGGACAAATGACTTAATCCTGAAACAAATTAAAAGGGGAAGACAGGGCGGCTCCTATGGCTCAAGGGAGTAAGGCACCAGCCCCATATACCGGAGGTGGCAGTTCAAACCTGGCCCCAGCCAAAAACTGCAAAAAAAAAAAAAAAAAGGTGGGAGTGGGAGACAAAAGGGACGGGGAACTTTTAGAGTCTTATCAATCAATTACAATGTTGGGTTTTACTTGGATTCTGATTCAAACAAATGTAAAAACCTGCATATAAATTAATCAGGGAAATTTAAATGCTGATTAAATACTTAAGGAATGACTGGTGATTTC